TTAGACTTAAAATTACTGACATTATGCAAAAAAACATGTTTTTGTGCATTTGACTTTGATTGACTTTATGCAACAACAAAAAAATAAGTATATGCATTTGACTTCAAATGATTGACTTCATGCAAAAAAACTGCACGACTAAGAAGCGAGTAAAAAATACAACTATTTTAAATTGCGTTCAGTATTTAAACATATTCTGAGTGAGATATAAAATAAAAAGAAATAAATCGCAATGTGCATCGTCTCCTAAACTGACTTTAGTAGATGCGCTTTAGTCTCGAATCATGTTTGTTTTATTTTGTACTGTGCATCGGAATATTTTCATCGCGTTTTGCGTCTGAAAACCGCAGCACAACCAGCAGCGCAAATTACGCTGCGTGTTAAAGTAGTGCATGCGCTGGTCTGTAAAGCGCTTTATAAATGAGCTGCACTGCTCTGAAATATGAGCTCAGAATCGCGCGTGTAGATAAAGAAGTCTCACTGTCCCCCGGAGACACACATGTCCCGTGTTGGGATGATGAATGTGGGCCGATGGAGCAGATCGATCAGTGATCCGGACTCACTACAAAACTATACAGCAATTAATTGTGTGTTGTCCGCTCATCCCTCATGTGCTGCTGCATTTATCGATGAAGATCTGCTGATCACTCACCAGCTTTCACATCTCACACTCCTACAGTATTTCCCTCCGTGCATGAGCGCTTATTTAATTATCCAGAGAGAGAGAAAAAATATCGGAAATATAACGGGACAAAATCTACTTTTTTTGAGTCATTCAGAAGAATTCAGAGTAAAAATGATTTCAGGTGTTGACACTGACAATCAATGTAATTATCATATATTAGATTTTTAATTAAAAGTATTTAAGACATCTCAGCCAATTTAAATATTATATAGGCTACAAATCAGCTAAAGATGCTTATTCGTTGAATAGCCTATGCGTTTTAAAATAAGGCCGAGATTTTAAAAAAAAGAAAAAAAAGCCTTTTTCTTCAATGTGAATGTCGATTTTATTTTATTTATATGCATTTTAATTTGTGACAATTTCTTTAATTTCAGTAAATAATTTCAGGATATTCGATACCGCTCGTTGATTAATTTCGCAGTGATCCGGATTAAAAACTCGTCAAATTCAACACGCACCTGCCTGAGAATAAATTCAATTCGATCACTAGAGAATTCAGTAAAATCTGAATCTCCGGCCCATTACAAAAATACTAAGAAACTGTTTTAAGAAGATGAACTTGCAGTTATGCACTAATATAATGTAGGCTAGACCAGTGCTATTTTATCATAAAACTAAATTGTTCATTTAAATATGGCATGCATTTAAATATATTTTCTAAATCGCAACAGCACGTAAATTGACTTTTTCTCAATAACTAATCGCCAGAAACAGGTTTAGGTTTGTACCCTAATAAAGCGCTGGTTTTGTCAAACACTACCCTCAAAAAAATAAAGGTTCTTCACGAGTTCTGTTGTTTTCAAGAACCATATTCCTCTCTGTATATTTATCGTGTTGCGCTTCTTCAAAGCACCAGAACGCCGATGTTTTAGAAAGTTTGCATGTGACCCTTCTTTCCTCCTGTTTATTTTTATGAGTGTGTGTGTGTGTGTGTGTGTGTGTTATGAAAGAGCATTAAGCTACATACGGTTGTTGAGCTCTCCGTTGTGGTTGTTGAGCGGGATGATCTCCATCCTCTGCTGTCCGTACAGATAATAGTCCAGCTCCTCGGAGCTCAGCTTCAGCCGCGATCCTTTATCATTCTTAAAGTTGGACGACAAACAAAGTTCTTTGGCTCGAGAAGCTCCGCCGCCGGTGTCGGAGCTCAGCGTCTGTCCGAACAGCGCGATCTGACCCGCGGGAGACGCGGCGGAGGAGCTGGAGCTCGAGATCAGGCTGGGTCTCTGCAGGCGGAGGCTCTCCAGCGGCACCGGAGGCGGCAGAGAAGCGGCTTTCAGTGCGCTATTCTGCGGGAAGAGCTGCTGCCAGTGCTGGATGTAGGTCGGGTCCACTTTGAGGAAAGCAGAACCGCTCGGCTCGCCCGGCTTCAGCATGTCCGACTGTAACAGCAGCACAGATGATGGATGATGATGGTGGACTTTCATGAGCTCTTCAGAAAAGAATCGCTGGTTAAGTTAACTAGTCAGGCCGCGACGCGCGTTTAAACACACTACAACACAGGAGCCGAGTCGTACCGGACTTCTGCGCTCGCGCCGCATGTTTGTGCGAGTCAAATGCAAGCGCTCGCGAGTGAAACACACTTACCCTGTCAGAGGAGTCCAGGCTGTGACTCTTGGACACCCACAACATCTCAGTATTGACCGAGAGCTCTGCTCGAACCCCTGTCGGCGCGTGCACGCGCAGCGCGCTCCCGCACGAGCACGCGCCTCTACGTGATGCTGAGCGCTTGGTTTTAATTCGGCATTACTTTTTTTTTAAGTGTCGGATCATGCATTAGATTAGATGCATGCATTGTACAAAAATACGCATTGCACAAAAAGTGTGCACAAGAAAGTTGCTGGAATCATAAATTATTGTCGGAGTTTTGAGTTTGCATGATAATGAATGACTCTATCAATCAGGCATTTGATAATTGCATTAGCCTATTTCTTTAACTCGCTCGCTTGACGCACCAGATAAGACTGCATAATAGTTTCCCAGCATTTCCTTCCAGACGCTTGAGAAAGTTTAGGAAAAGCGCTCTGTATCTGAATGTAGGGCATTTTTCAGCAGAGGAGGGTAAATGTTTTGACTGGCAACATTGTGACAGGCCCATTCGTCATCCAGAGGTCTCTGCAGATTGATAACGAACCAAAACACAAACATTATCGTCTAAAAAAATGAATTCTTGTCTACAAATGCATTTCACCCTTAAAGAATGTGAGCAAGAACAGCGCGCAGATTTAGATTTTTCTTTGGCGATAAAGCTTTATTTTAGGCATGGCGCAATTATCATTAAAATTATTAAATCGCGCTATAATCTGTTTTAATTAATTAAATTACTGTTATTATTTAAATAACAATAATGCATGTCGAATATAACCTTTAAACCATTTATAGTTGTCACACTTCCAAATAACACTGCTCTTATGACAGCGTATTGGTGTTTTTATTCATTGATAAATGACCGGTGAAATAAAGTGCACTCGAGGGGCAGAAGAGATCAATACATTAACTGCCCAAATATATCATTTTCTGTGCCAAAAACACGGATTATTAAAGCAGAGCCTAAACTTGGGCTTCATTTGTATATTTTCAGCGCGTGCAAAAAAGTGTTTAGGCGTGTCTTTCATTAACATGGACTGCTGTTTGACATTCACTTAGACCCTTTGCATTTCTTGTTAATTAATTCTGCTGATGGCTGAAAGACAAATGAACGGCTGCGTGTGACAGGAGTCCGATAAAGAATCCAGCCACCAGCGCCTCTTATTATAGTTTTAAGGTCACGGGTTGCTGAGTATATAATTCATTAATATAGACGTATATTCAGATGGGAGTTGATGCTCGTCCTGTTGTTGCAACTCAAACTTATAAAAAATTGCCTGTTAATAACCCACTGCAAAAAAAGAGAGATTTATAGAAGTGCCTCGAGTGTGTTTTACATCAGTCTATTAATGATGTAAAAGCGCTTTTGCTGTTTATCCGTTAACACAACTCTTTTTGTGTCGTTTGACAGAGGGAAAAGCGGAGTGAACTCATTCATATCGCAGATTTCCAGCACACTGCTGCTCGGGTTTGGTCGTGCATCACAAAACCTTTATATAGTGTTTGCCGTTTCTGCGAAAATATGAGAGTCGCGCGACAATTCAAAATAATGATAAAACATGAATTATCCGTAATAAATCCAGTACCGATCTAAATTCATTTTAATATCGATTTGTATCAAAATAGCCTGATGCAAATGCATATTTGAATGAGACAGAATTAAGTTATCCTTTATCTTCAACTCATTCCGCGCAAAATAGCCTAAAGTCAGTTTAGCCGCCATATTGAATTTAACGCGGTTAAAACGAGGCTGCGAGGGATTTACGGTTGCAAAGGCATGCACTATATAAAAGTGTAATCTTTACAATTCAGAACTATTTAATGGAGTTTTTGTCTGCTTAAAGTCTTTTCAGATAGATATTTCATCAGCTAAACAATCGGTAATCAAGAATCCATTGAACGCACAGTACTTGAGTCTTTCACGGCCTCGTTTTCGTTCCCGTCAGAAATTAAATATACACGCTACGCTACCCATGAATGAGCTCTATTGAATATTGAAATATGTCGCTGTCATTCTTTCAAACGGGACAAAGGGGGCGCACTAGAGCCTATCAAAATTACCCGGTCGCACTTACAAACTGTGGAAAATACGTTTTATAATCACTTACATTACTATTTAATTATTATAAGTATATAAAATGTATGAATACTGTACTTGCATGCAACAAACACGAATTTGGTAGTTTAGTTTGATTAAAGGAGGCCTGTCAGTATATTTTTGTAGGTATCCAACTAACAGAATGTTCTCAGAAGGCAAGGTTATGAATTAATATTCTTCCAGTAACGTTAACAGTATGCTTGTTCAAAGTTATCTAGTTTTTAATAACGTTCTCAAAGCATTAGCACAAAAACATGCAATGTTTTTCTGAAACATTTTAGTCTAATGTTTTATAAATGTTACTATGTGCTACTTGTTTCCAGATGATTCAGGGAACGTTTTCATAATGTTTGCAAAATCATAACTGAGCATCCTTAATGTTTTCTCTAACAATCACATAACCAAGAACAAATAAAAACATTTTTACTGGGCATTCTGAAAACACTCAGAAATAATGTTTTCATATCATAACGGGAACATTAGCAAAACACTATATAACATATTTTTGTTAGACAGGTACGTGGATATTTTTCTGATGCTCTAATAAGTGACACGTTCAGTCTTATTTAGACCTCCTGGAGTCTGGCTTTCAGACACCGACCCAGATGGTTAACCACTACACCACATCACCTCATGTCTGATCCATCAGTGAAGACAGATCTGAAGATGCCATCAGCGAGAGAGCGCCGCTCTTTCTCCTTCTGTCTCTCTCAATCCAGCTCAGTGACTGGAGCTTTGGGCTCTGAAGCTCTGCTCTCTTTGAGTCGTCAGAAACCCTGTAACACGTCCTGACAGAACTGAAGCTGGATGCATCGCAATCATACGAGCACACCATAACCAAACCAGTCAATGGAAGTCCACTCGTCTGAGGTGGTGAAGCACAGTGAATTATATTTACAAAACCGTACCTGAGCTCCCAGGAGTAAATCAGTTATTTATAAAACACCATTTTCTGGCAATTCAGCAACAATTTTGCGGCGATTTCTTCAGTTGCTGCCTTAGTTGAATTCTCTCACAGGATCCCTGAAAGGAAAAAAAAGAGATAAGGGTGATACATAAAACAAAAAACTGAATGTATATTTGTGACCCTGGAGCACACAACCAGTCATAAGGGTCAATTTTTCGAAATTGAGATTTATACATCATCTGAAATCTGAATAAATAAGCTTTCCATTGATGTATTTGAGTCGTCAGAAACCCTGTAACACGTCCTGACAGAACTGAAGCTGGATGCATCGCAATCATACGAGCACACCATAACCAAACCAGTCAATGGAAGTCCACTCGTCTGAGGTGGTGAAGCACAGTGAATTATATTTACAAAACCGTACCTGAGCTCCCAGGAGTAAATCAGTTATTTATAAAACACCATTTTCTGGCAATTCAGCAACAATTTTGCGGCGATTTCTTCAGTTGCTGCCTTAGTTGAATTCTCTCACAGGATCCCTGAAAGGAAAAAAAAGAGAAAAGGGTGATACATAAAACAAAAAACTGAATGTATATTTGTGACCCTGGAGCACAAAACCAGTCATAAGGGTCAATTTTTCGAAATTGAGATTTATACATCATCTGAAATCTGAATAAATAAGCTTTCCATTGATGTATGGTTTGTTAGGATAGGACAATATTTGGCAATATTTGGAAAATCTAGAATCTGAGGGTGCAAAAAAATCTAAATATTGAGAAAATCATCTTTTAAAGTTGTTCAAATTAAGTTCTTAGCAATGCATATTACTAATCAAAAATTAAGTTTTGATATATTTATGGTAGGAGATTTACAAAATATCTTCATGGAACATGATCTTTACTTAATATCCTAATGATTTTTGGCATAAAAGAGAAATGTATAATTTTGACCCATACAATGTATTGTTGGCTATTGCTACAAATATACCCCAGCGACTTAACACTGCTTTTGTGCTGCAGGGACACACATATATATATACGCCAACTGTTTTTTTTTTTTAATTCATTGATTTATATTTTGGATTTATTTTCCTGTTATGTTGCACATTTACCTTTAACCATTTAATTTAGATTTATGTTTTATTTTTGGTCAGTCTGGTCTTGGTTTTGAAGCATCTTCCTCATCACATCTGTAAGCGTGCATTGATCTGAGACCTGCTGGAATAACCTGTAAAATACACACCAAACCTGCACATCTGAGCATCTGGTAGAACCGAGTTCACAGGGTTTCCCGTAAAACACCGACGCTGAACGAAATAACCGGCAGACTAAAATTCATGCCCGGGCCGATGATTAGACCAGCCATCAGCGCAGAAGCCATTACGGCGAGCTCTCCTGGGTCAGGCCTTCTGAGATGAGGTCTGGTGCTTTACATGGCAGCTACCAGCGAGTGTAATGAAGCGCGCGCTTGGCCTGATTAAGGGACCCGCGGCCCTCGGATCGTGTGCTTTGAGGAAACACTGCAGAGAACAAACCCGATTAGAACAGGGTTTATACGACACCAAATTATAAAGATTTCTAGGCCTACTTACCTACACTCTTACAAATAACAGCGATGCCATAGAAGACGCATTGTGGGTTCCCCAAAACACCTTTCACTGAACTCTTTCTGAAAAGAACCATTCTTTCACACTCTTAAAAATAAAGCTTCTGTATTGGCAGGACCTTAAACATCCATGGAACCACCAAAGGTTCTTTATAACGGAAAAATCCGTTATAAAGTGTGATCTTCACACTGATGCAAAATGGTTCTTTTAAGAAACTGTTCATTGAACCGTTCATCACTGCAATGTGAAAAAGATTTATAAAATCTGAAGAACTTTTCCTTCCATTATAAAGAATGTGTTTTGCAATGTAAAGGCTCCATTGATGTTAAAGGTTTTCAAGAAACAATCAATGCCAAAGAAGAACCTTGGTTTTTAAGAGAGTATTCATTTAGTTGAACCAGACCATCAGAAATATTATTTATTCCAAATGCTATTAAAAATCAAACCAAAATCTCTTGCACATCTTATTTGAAAATCCACTTTAAAGTACTATCTAATGTTTAGACCAACTATCCTGTTCCAAAAAACCAAAGAAAAAAAAAATCCATATTTTCCAAAAATTAATTGGAGTGTTTTACGAGAAAACACAGTTTTTCTAGACTACTTCAAATTACGCATTTAATTCAATGTTTTAAATGTGGTTTCTTTGTGAAATTTAGCCACTAGCAATTTTTGAGTCAAAATGTATCATTTTACAAAAATGAAAAAAAAAATGTATCAAAATGTATCAAAACACCATTTTTTTCTTGTTTATTTACATTTCTCCGTTGTTCTGTACATTGCTACTATATTCTTTATAAATCGGTGTGTCTTGTGTAATATGTGTATAATACGTAGCCTAATTAAATTCCTGAGACGGTGACGCGAGCGGGAGGCGGAGCGTCATACAGGAAGACGCGCGCGTCACGGAATCCGCTGCTTCTCTTCAGTCAAATCCGCGCTCGCATCGCGTCGCATCGCATCCATATTCAGAGATGCAGCGACACCAGCTCTGGCGCGCGTTTGCGCTCCTCTATTTGCCGGTTTTAGGAAGCGCCATTGATTTTAAAACGCGGACGGGACCGCGAGTGACGGATAAGGTGAGACGCGCGTCCTGCAGCATTCTCCGCGACGCGTCGCAATACAACCATCCATCCGCTCCTACATGAACTAAACCTGCGGCGTGTCGCTAGTGTTTTTGTCTTTTAAGCGATGACAGATCGCGCGCATGCGTGTCCGTCAATGCATCTGTTCTGTTCACGCGACGCGACGCGCTGCACTGCGTCACATATGACGCTTTACAGAAACACACAGCATTGCAGCATCATGACCGAATAAGCTGATTATGTTAATAGTATAATTCACTTTTGAATTTTTACATATTTGCAAATGCTTAAATTCGTAGATACACTGGCGTTCAAATGTTTGGGATCAGTAAGATTTCTAACGTTTAAAAAGAAGTTTCTTCTGCTCATCAAGGCTGCATTTATTTGATCAAAAAACAGAAAAAAAACTTTTAATATTGTGAAATATTTTTACAATAAAAAAAAGGATTGCATATACTTTAAACTGTAATTTATTTCTGTGATGCGCAGCTGTATTTTCAGCATCATAACTCCAGTCTTCAGTGTCTCATGATCTTCAGAAATCATTCTAATATGCTGATTTATTATCAGAGCTGGAAACTGTTGCTGCTTCATATTTTTTTGGAAGCTGTGATACTTTTTTTCTGGATTCTTTGATGAATAAAAAGCTTTTATTCAAAATAGAAATATTTTCAAACAATATAAGTTAGAAACTTTTTACAGTTTAACAGATATTCACATAGAAAACAGCTGTTTTAAATTATAATAATATTTCAAATTTTTTACTGTATTTTTGATCAAATAAATGCGGCCTTGATGAGCAGAAGAGACTTCTTTAAAAACATTAAAAATCTTACTGATCCCAAACTTTTGAACGCCAGTGTATATATACTAGTATTACACACACAGTGCTGCACCGCAAAACATGATTCTCTTAGTGTTTGTGTCTTGTGTTCTAGTATAAATATTTACAAATCCTCGAATCAAGATGAATTTACTGTACAAGTAAAATGAGTTAAGATATTACGTCTTGTTTTCTGTAAAAAAAAAAGTATCAAAATTTAGTTCAAAAATATCTGCCAATGGTGCAAGAAAAATAATCTCGTTTAGCCTTTGAATTAAGATTATTTTTCAGATATTTTTGCTTGTTTATATTATAAAAGACTTTTTTTTTTAGAAAACAAGATCTTAAACCATTTCACTTGTTCAGTAAATGCATCTTGATTCGAGAATGTTTAGATATTTATACTAGAACACAAGACACAAACACTAAGTAAGAGAATGATTTTTTGCAGTGTGATCTGTGATGTTTGGCTGTGAATGGTGAAAGTGCTGGTTTGTGCTGCAGGTGTTTCTTGACATCACCGTCGGAGGACACGAGGTTGGCAGGATCGTGATTGGTCTGTTCGGAGAGGTCGCTCCGCTGACCGTGCAGAACTTCGTGGCTCTTGCCACAGGAGAGGTAAAACTCACCATACACACGACACGCATCTATCATCATACAGCAGCATGCTGCTCTGACACAGCTCCTCTCTTCAGGAGGGTTACGGGTACAAAGGCAGCAAGTTCCATCGGGTTATCAAGGATTTCATGATCCAAGCAGGAGATTTCACCGCTGGAGACGGAACAGGAGGTGAGGACGAGTGAGCACACGGCAAAAAATCATTCTCTTGCTTAGTGTTTGTGTCTTGTGTTCTAGTATAAATATCTAAACATTCTTGAATCAAGATGCATTTACTGTACAAGTGAAATGAGTTAAGATATTATGTCTTGTTTTCTAAAAAAAAATAAAAAATTGTGTTCGTTTTTGCTTAAAACAAGCAAAAATATCAGCTAATGCGGTAAGAAAAATAATCTTAATTCAAAGGCTAAACAAGATTATTTTTCTTGCACCATTGGCAGATATTTTTGCTTGTTTTAAGCAAAAACTAACATTTTGATACTTTTTTTTTAGAAAACAAGACTTAATATCTTAACTCATTTTACTCGTACAGTAAATTCATCTTGATTCAAGATTTATACTAGAAAACAAGGCACAAACACTAAGTAAGAGAATGATTTTTTGCGGTGCTCTCCCTCATGTCTTCTCTGGAACACAGAAAATGTTAATGTTTCTCTGATTAAAATGTACAAATGAAATAGATGATTAACAGCAGGTATGATTGCACGCTCTCATGTTTATCAGTCGAATGAATCCAATCTGATTTCAGATTTTGAAGGTTTTTATTCAGCTTTCAGATTATGTATAAATTTCAATTTCAAAAAATTACCCTTATGACTGGTTTTGTGCTCCAGGGTCACAAATAATAATAATAATGATAAAAAAATATTTACATGAAATAAATTAAAATATAAAAGAACTTATATTATTTCAGCTAGTTACCAAAGCATTTCATAAAACACTACATAGATATATTTAAAAAAACTAACAAAAGACAGAAACACAAAATTTCTAAAACTTTAAATAAAAAAAATCTAATTTTCATTAGATTAACTTGAAGTACTAAAATAACTCAAACTATATATATATATATATATATATATATATATATGTATATATATACAGAAACAAAAAACTAAACTTAAAAAAATCTAAAAAAAAAATAATTAAAAAAAGCTTTTTCATTACTTGAAGTACTAAAATAACTAAATAAACTAAAACTAATAAATAAACATTAAAAAAAACTGTATAGGCATTAAAAAAACTAATAAAAACACAAAATTGCTAAAACTTAAAAAAATCAATACACATTTTTTTAACAGAATATATAAAAATAAAAACAAATTCAAAATATTAACAAAAACTGCAATAGTATATCAATGATACTAAAGTAACACTGGTTTATATGAACTTAAGCATTGGGTCAGTCAGTATAATTGTTATTTTCACCTTGATGACGCATCTAGAAAGAAAGCAGACTTATATAAAGAACATTTTAGCAGTCTCTTCCAGTGACCAGTTCATAAGATGTGAGACATAAATGACTATAAGCACGTTCGTACAGTAGCCTGTGTGTAAACATGCACCCCATTTCAATCAGATTAAATTCAATCATCAAAAGTGTTTATATGAAGGCTTTTCAGTCCGATTGAGCCATCAATCTGATTCTAAACACATTATTTGGGTGCATGGAAACGTAGCTTGTGTTGAACTCCAAAAAGCCGTGAAAGCATGACAGCTGTGTGAGGAACAGGTCCAAACCTACGCAGATACTCACTCAAAATTATGTCAAACCTGACGTTCTGCATATATTCAGGAGGTGTGTGGAAGATCATCAGTGAACTAGATAAAAAAAGTTTGTCAAGACAAACTTTAGGTTGGCTTGAGAAAGCCTAGCCTGAAAGTTTAAAGCAGTTGTAAAAGCCTGAAGTTTGAATATTTAGATAGATTAGATAGATGTTGATAACATGTTTCTAGCATGATTAGCATGTTTTTAACATGATTGGCCTGTTACTAGCATATTGCTGGCATGATTAGCATGTTGCTAGCATGATTAGCAAGTGACTAGCATGATTAGCATGTTACTAGCATATCACTAGCATGATTCTAGCATGATTAGCATGCTACTAGCATGTTGCTAGCATGATTAGCATTGTTACTAGCATGTTTCTAGCATGATTAGCATGCTACTAACATGATTAGCAAGTGACTAGCATGTTGCTAGCATGATTAGCCAGTAACTAGCATGTTGCTAGCATGATTAACAAGTTACTACCATGTCACTAGCATGTTTCTAGCATGATTAACATTTTGCTTGCATGTTGCTAGCATGATTAGCAAGTAACTAGCAAGATTAGCATGTTATTAGCATGTTTTCTAGCATGATTAGCATGTTACTACCATGTTTCTAACATGATTAGCATGTCGCTAGGATAGATAGATAGATATAGATAGATAGATAGATAGATAGATAGAAATAGTCAGATGATAGATAGATAGATAGATTAGAAATATTAGATGAGTTTGAATGGATTAGAAATAGTACATAGAAGGGAAGTCTGATTGAGTCTAATGGGCTTCAGTTTGTTTAGATTAGAATTTTGACAGTTGGAGTTTGAATAGTCTTGGCTCATCTCAACATTCCGTCAATGTAAGTGTATGGGATTTTTATGATTTTTAATCTTAATCTTTATGAAAACCATAAGTCGGATCAGTCTGAAAAGATAAGGCACACTAAGTCAGATCAGTCTGAAGAGCTGGGCTGAGTTTGGTGGTTCTAGCTTAAAAGCTCTAGGAGGAGGAGCGTTCAGAAATTTAGTCTAAGAAGAATAATAATAAAAAGCTTAAGTAGCAGATCAGTAGGCTTTCTCAAGCCAACCTAATAATTCCTCACACAGAACTATAATTCCTGTGTCTTTCAGGAAAAAGCATCTACGGAAGCACGTTTGCAGATGAGAGCTTCAGGCTCAAGCATCTGGGCGCAGGTTGGGTCAGCATGGCAAACGCCGGGCCCGACACCAACGGCTCGCAGTTCTTCATTACTTTAGCCAGAGCGCCGTGGCTGGACGGAAAACACGTGGTGTTTGGCAAAGTCCTGGAGGGGATGGTATGAGAAGAACACACTAACACACACAGACAGAGTGAATAACGTCACTAGAAAACCAACAGTCGGATTTAATTCTACAGCGCTTAATATAGCACAGATCGTTTCAGAGCGGCTTCACCATACACTCAAATAATGCTAACAAATAAATATTATTTAACATTCCTAAACCTATTGTATACGGGTCAAAGACGAGACGTCCAAATTAAATTTACAAAAGTGATTTTATATACACAGAAAGTCTGCTTTAATGTTTCAAAGAATTTTAGTGGAAATAAAATGTCAAAATAATTCTTCACTATCATTCAGTGTAACAGATATATTTATGTAAAAATGACCTGTACTTTATAATAATAATAATAATAAGTAATCATACTAAATTTTATTACATTTTAAAACGTCTTGCTGATGAATGGGTCAAACCTAGTGGTTTGAAGCATCGTGGCAAAAAATTGGTAAAGATTTAAAATGACAATTAATTAATTAATTAATAATGATTCTGGTTCTAAGTATGCCTGATGAGATTTTTTGTTATATGAATTATTGTTACACTGAATGGGCGACTTCAGTAAATTAGTAAAAATGTACGATGGTCATTATTTTTTACTCAGAAAAAAATTAAATTAAACAGCACACATTCTAAATTTAAAGTTTAAATTAAAAAATTTAAAGCTGTATTGATTTTTTTTTTTGATGCTTGAAAACCCATTCTTGTCTTTGACCCGTAGACATTGACTTATGGTGTGTTCACACCAGACGCGAAGCGAATATGCGCATCGCGTCGCTCGCTCTAGATTACTCGCGGGATGTTTTCCGTGTCACTCGCGCGAATAAAAACGTAGCGCGATCAACCATGGTGGAGATACCTACATTTTTGAACTTGCGCGAAAGACGCGATTGAGGCGAATATCGTGTGTTCGCGGCAAACGCATCGTGCATTCCGCGTCATTCGTGTCGCACGGCGCGAATTCGCCTCTATTCGCATCTTTGCGTTGACTTTGCATGTAATCTACTCGCGCGAATATTTACATTCGCGTCTGGTGTGAACACACCATTACACCAACAAAACTGATTTTTATGGGTTAAAGTAGGTAGAAATACCTCTTTAAAGTAATAAAAGGTTACCACTTTTTACAGTGTAATTGAACAGGAAAAAAAATTTATGTTGCAAAGTTCTTTAATTATGAAATTAATAAAATTTCAGCTGTAAAGCTGCTCTAAAAATGCAAAAGTGTCATTATTCGACTCAATTTGGTTTCAGTGTTGATTAAAATTGTAGTTCAGTAGTCAGTAGTTAGTAGTTGATTTAACAATGAAGTGATTTCAACTGAACAATGACTGTTTAGTATTATCTTTTTACAGCAGAATTGAATTGAATCACTATTTTCTAATCTATCATCACTGTAAAGCTGCTTTGAAATAAAGGTGACTTGGCTTCAATAGCAAGCTCATCAGGTATGAAACAAACTGTGTTTCAGGCTGTGGTTCACACCATCGAGCTCCAGGACACGAACGATCGTAACCTGCCCTACACCGAGTGTGTGATCGTCAACAGCGGCAAGATCAAGCTCAAAGAGCCCTTCGTCGTGGAAGTGGAGCGATGGTGAACCGTTATGATTTCTGTGTTTATATATTCATATCTGCTGGTGGTGGAGTCGTGTCGTTAGATTCTTCTCTTACTATGAGAGAATATTCAGAGAAATCACACCGTCATACGGCCAAATGTGACCTGTTCTGGCAAGATGAGTCGAAATGAGCAAATTTACAAAAATGAGTTAAATTTATTTTCATTCTCCATTAAAATTACCTTCAAAATGACTTGTAGGAATCTGACAAAAAATGGCTGAGCTACATCTGTTTGAAGTTGATTTTGAGAAAAAACGAGTTAAAGTTTTCTGTAGGTTCCAAAGAAAAATCACCAAGGCAACGTTGCATATTTTCCTCCAGTTCTTTTCTTAATAATCATAATTACTATATTATTAATCACAATATTGCTATTTTTTATTTTAGCTTTGTTATTAAAAATAAGAACAAAAATGCAAATGAACAGTAGTTTAATCAAGAGCAGCGAGTGATGCCGTCTTTTCTTTTAATGTTTGATTAACATTGAGACAGATCTATGTTGAGACCTACTGTAATGCATGGATCTAATATAACGTTGCACATCAGATTTTTCCCCAACCGTTAACTAAACGTTCATGTAAGACATAACAGATGATGTTTGTGTGAATCTCGCCAAGACGTACAGTGGGTACGGAAAGTATTCAGACCCCCTTAAATTTTTCACTCTTTGTTATATTGCAGCCATTTGCTAAAATCATTTAAGTTAATTTTTTTTCCTCATTAATGTACACACAGCACAGCTGCAGGGACAGGACGACTGGTTGCAATCGAGGGAAAGATGAATGCGGCCAAGTACAGGGATATCCTGGGCGAAAACCTTCTCCAGAGTGCTCAGGACCTCAGACTGGAACTAAGGTTTACCTTCCAACAAGACAATGACCCTAAGCACACCGCTAAAATAACGAAGGAGTGGCTTCACAACAACTCTGTGACTGTTCTTGAATGGCCCAGCCAGAGCCCTGACTTAAACCCAATTGAGCATCTCTGGAGAGACCTAAAAATGGCTGTCCACCAACGTTTACCGTCCAACCTGACAGAACTGGAGAGGATTTGCAAGGAGGAATGGCAGAGGATCCCCAATTCCAGGTGTGAAAAACTTGTTGCATCTTTTCCAAAAAGACTCATGGCTGTATTAGATCAAGAGGGTGCTTCTACTAAATACTGAGCATTTTTCAGTTTTTCTTTTTTAATAAATTTGCAAAAATGTCAACAATTCTGTGTTTTTCTGTCAATATGGGGTGCTGTGTGTACATTAATGAGGAAAAAAAATTAACTTAAATGATTTGAGCAAATGGCTGCAATATAACAAAGAGTGAAAAATTTAAGGGGGTCTGAATACTTTCCGTACCCACTGTATTTCACAATAATGTACTGTATAGGGAGATCGCGCGTCGTATGCATGCACTTTGCAAATGTCAGTCAGCACGATCGTTTTGTTTTCATCAGCATGGGTTTGAAAATCATATTTCACTGGTTTGGACTCATGTCATCGAGATATGAATATTCACAAAGCTAGAATGCTGTGCTTTGCAACAATAGACCTACAACTTGAGAAGCAGTACTCCTCTCAGAAAACGTACAAATAACGATGATTTTAGATGTTTAATTACTATCTGGAGCATTGGGATCGCTAGAAGAGGGCCTAATGAACTAATTTTTGCGAAAACCTCAAATTCGACTGAAATTCACTTCTTTTGCCTGTAGCTCAGAATTAGACCGTGCACATTCACACTCATTCTGCCGGCACGGCTCACATGTGTGTGTTTCTGCGCAGCACTTTATCACACTGTCGGACGGTTTACTGCAGAAATCAACCGCACACACGTTTATTACGATCCTCTGAGTGCCAACAAGACATACATAAATCTCCACTATTTGAATTATGATGTAGAAACGCAAATAAGCTATATTAGAACAATCTGTCTTTTGTTTTAAAATAAAAGATGTAAATATGGTTCATTTTGACCTTGTTTTGCATTCATATTTAAAAACTAAATCAATCACTTATTAGATCCTAGCGGTTTCAGTGGATTTCAATGATTAATTGTACACTCAAACTAAATATTATTCAGACACCAGATATATTTTTTTTACTAGTGGGTGCAGGACACTACAGTTCATTTACGCAAGTGAGGATAGCAAAATAAAGTGAACTGTGACATATTACACCCAAAAATTCTTCATACAGTGGACTAACAGTAAAATCTGGGATCAAAAATGATTCACACTTTGATCTGAGCATGTTTTGTTTGTGTTTTTTCTTTAATTGCTAATGCGATCTTTTTACACCACAGACTGAACAAAACGAAACACTGCTTGGTAATTGTTTGAGCTAAATTGTGTCCCTGCAGCACAAAAGCAGTGTTAAGTCGCTGGGGTATATTTGTAGCAATAGCCAACAATACATTGTATGAGTCAAAATTATACATTTCTCTTTTATGCCAAAAATCATTAGGATATTAAGTAAAGATCATGTTCCATGAAGATATTTTGTAAATTCCCTACCATAAATATGTTAAAACTTAATTTTTGATTAGTAATATGCATTGCTAAGAACTTCATTTGAACAACTTTAAAGATGATTTTCTCAATATTTAGATTTTTTTGCACCCTCAGATTCCAGATTTTCAAATAGTTGTATCTCAGCCAAATATTGTCCTATCCTAACAAACCATACATCAATGGAAAGCTTATTATTCAGCTTTCAGATGATGCATAAATCTCAGTTTTCAAAAATTGACCCTTAAGGCCGGTTTTGTGCTCCAGGGTCACAATTGGTTTTATCTAATTGTGTTCTTAAATGTAACAGCTGACAGCTATTCAACCGAATTCATTACATACCTTTCTATCAAAGTTATCTGACATTATCACAGTTTATTCAGTTTAACTCTGAGTTCTTCTCATATTTTGTTACCATTTTCTAATCTATAGCGAATAAACTGTGATATAATGTTGAAGGTGTCTGTTTTGGTTTGACTGTATATTAACTGCCTGAAAGAAAGTTTCATAATCAACCATATCATTTAAATCAATTATGGCTTTGCTAAACACAAATCTGTTTTGTTTGCAATCCCTAAAATCAGCATGAAACAAAGTTTCACAGCTTATTCTATCTCTGTATCGTGATGTATTTCGGATATTCAACGAGCAGCTGAATGATGTATAATGGTAACACTTTACAATAAGGTCCTATTGGTTAATATTTGTTACAGTATTCATTCATCTTTGTTATAATCTTTGTTAAAGTTAGTTAATAAAAACGCAACTGTTCATTGTTAGTTCAGGACCATTAATGATGTATTAGCAAATCCTGGAATTAACATGAACTAAGATTAATAAATGCTGGAGAAGTATTGTTTATTGTTAGTTCATGTTAACTAATGGAGTTAACTAATGTAAGGTTTCCACTGAAGCTGAATTAATTAGCATTACAGTAATGAGAACGACAGGTTTCTGAGATCCACACACATACGCAAACCTTTATTTTGCAGGTTTTATGAAGGTAACTGTAAGACTTTTTAAAGACCTTTGTAAGACCCATTGAAGAAAATTTAAGGAATAAATGAAAGGGAGCACAATAAATGTAAATGTCTACACAATGAATTGTTTTATTGAGAATTTTGAACTTCCAACCAGTTATTTTAGTATCATTGAGATACTATTGTAGTTTTTGTCAATTTTTTAAATTCGTTTTTTATATCTAAATTTAAATTTTATTTAACATTTTTGTAATTTCATTGCTTTGTCAGTTGTATTAGTTTTTTTTACTGAATGTTTATTGTTTTTGTTTATATATATATATATATATATATATAGTTTTTTTATTTTCAGTTGAGGTTCAAGTTAAACTAAATGAAAATGAATAATCTTCATTTTGCATCTCAATGTATTTTGTTATAAGGATGTCTTCCATCTTTATTTGACCCTCTAACTCTAGCACTCTCTATTCTAATTCTATTTTATCTATTTATTGACTTGACCCTCTAACACTCGCACTCTTTATTCGTTTTCTAACTGCTTGCTTTCTTAAAAAAAGGCCTCTAAGTCTAGCCTTCTCTATTCTTTTTCTATTCTATCTACTTGTTTTCTTTTTGTTATATATATATACTGTATATAACTCTTGCTAAGTGTACTGCATTGGGCTAACTGAGACTTGTCATAACACTTGCATTTTATTGCTCTCTTGTTGATTTTGATTGCTTCTATTGTCCTCATTTGTAAGTCGCTTTGGATAAAAGCGTCTGCTAAATGACTAAATGTAAATAGATGTTTATATGTACTGGAAAACAAAAACAAAAATACTGAGGAAGAGATTCATTTTTAACAAAGCATGTAATATTTAATGCCACCACTTTAAGAATTTAACACTTTCTGCTCTGATTTAAGAGCTTTTTCAGACTCGCAGAAACCCTGTTTTTTTTTTTTTTTTTAA